TTGGTGAACTCTTCAGCTCGCTCACTATTGAGGGTCCTGATGGCACAGTACCTGGTAGCATGGTCCACAACAGTCATGACACACCTGCGTCCTTGGGGTACTTTCTCTGCTTTCTCCTTCTCCTTCTTCTTGGCTGCGGGCGTACCCGGTGCAGGATGTGCCACCTTGACCGTGGAGTCATCGTTCAGGATCCAGTGAGAGTCAACCTGGACTCGCTCGTTGAACTCAGTGCACTTCAATGCTGAAGCAGGAGGTGCTTGTTTGGGTCCCTTCCTTGCATCGCACAAGGGGCAAAGATACTTCTGCGCTGCTTCCAGGACATCAGCTGTGGCCTGCACTTCTCTTAGCATGCGGACCAGCACATCTGCGCCACAGTGACCCAGGTTCTTGTGTAGCCTCTGCACGTACTCCACAGCACGGCCTCCGACCTTTGCTCGAAGTTCTCGATTTGCTCGGATAGGCTCAGCCTCCACAACTTTCTTCTCTTCTGGCAGCTCCTTATAGTCATCCACCGCCTGAACGTCGTCCTGGTTCTCGAGGTGTGTCACGATGGCATTCACAACGGCGGTGGCAAACACCTGGGTGTAGTTCTCTGCAAGGGTCGTCCTGGTCCCAAGACCTAGGGCATAGCCTTCAAGATGCGTGTGCCAATGATCTCCACTGCACTCCTTCCAGAGCAAATAGTGAACCATCGGACTGGTCACGCGCAGGCATGTTGCCTTCTGAACTGGGTTGATGTTGCCGTCATCGTCAGGAAGAACCAGTCCATACTCGCACATGTCAACCCGGGTGTCATATCCCTGCATGCGCTGAAAGGCGGGCGTTTCCCATGACTTGGCATGCCATGGGTGCTCCACGATGGCCAGGCGTCCATCCTTCCTTTGCTTCTCATAGCTCACTGCAACGAAAGTGAGATGGGTGTCATGGTCCTCCAATCTCTTTGCTTCCAGAGTCGCTCCATAGGCGGGGTTCTTGGCCTTGTTGAGCTCCTGCGTTGGAGACCATAGCTTGCACATTGGGCTGTAGAGAATGGCATCGGGCTTCTCCTCCTCTTGCTTCCGAAAGAAGGCTTTTCGATGGGCTGCTAGAGAGAAATCCCAGCCATCTTCTCTTGAAAAACGGATGGCAGTGCAATTGACTCGACGGTTCGCTGTCTTGGTAACCTTGCCCTCGCCGGCATAGACCTCCCATATCACATGGGTCCTCGGCGGCATGTAGTTCTCCAGGTCTTTTGCTCGGCAGATGTCCATGTCCAACTCCTTCATTGCAGCAACCGTCTCATAGTACAACTTGTTCAATTTTCCGGGATGCAACTTGTCAAGTTCCTCATCCTCATGGGTGCATCTTGCCTGACTGATGACCTTCTGTGCGTGGTCATCCTCCATCACGGACTTGTCAGGCTCATATTGCATTGTCACCTTTGAATTCTCTTCTCCCACGCTCACCTGAGCTGTCTCAATGTTGTTCTCCAGGGCGAGAAATGCATCATCAGCAACTTGTAGTATGCCCTGGAGTGTCACTTCTTCAAAGACATGCGTGTCGAAGTCTTCGGGGATGAAAACCTGGTCGGCCACCGTCTTGGTCTTTACGAGCTGGTGGTCCTCGACCAAGTGCACAATGAATTCTCCCTTCTTTCCAAGTGCCGCAGGCTCAAAGTCTTCATCCTCTCCCCAAGCGACCGTCTTCGCTCGGTAGTTGATGGTGATGCCAAAAGCCTCAAGAGCTGGTCTTCCCAGCAGGCATGGCGTTGAGCCTTCCATGACATACATCAGGATGTCTCTTCTCTTGTTCTTGAAGTAGGTTGGCACAAGGACGCAAAGGGTGGTCACGTCCCTGTTTCCGTTGCCAAACCGCAGACCTTTCTCACACTTCCATGCTGGAATGGAAGCCACATCGCACCCCTTCATCAAAAGGGCTTTCATCAATCTCCTCAGCTGCTGCGTGCCGATGATGACCGAAGCAGCACCACAGTCAAACATTGCAGTGTCATCCGGCTCAGACTCGGTGCCGTCCTCGTCAAAGATGTTCACTTCCTCCGTGATGGTAGTGTCAACCACCATGTGGATCTCGCTCTCTGGGTCAGCCTCGGTCTTTCTCTTGTTCTGTGCTTGGGATGGGCAGTTTGCAGCCATGTGACCTGCTCGGCCACACCTGAGACACTTGATTGCTCCCAAGGCCGCTCTGCCTCTGGCTTTGGCTGATGGAGGTTTCGGCTGTTGTTTTCCCTTGCCCTTGACCTTTCCTTTCTTTCCTTTTCCTTTGCCCGCACCTCCAGTGTAGCTCTTCTGGTCAGGAACCATCGCCACCACCGGGTAGTATCCACGGCTGACTCGCAGTTGATTCAGCTTGGAGCGAGCCTCAACATAGTTCGCCATGATGTCATCGTACTCCGAGGCAGCGTCCATGGCCATGAGGATCTGCTCTTCGTCAGTCTCCTGAGGTGCAGGGTCTTCCTGCCACATGATCTGGCTCAAGGAATCTTCAGGTCCGATCTCCCAGGATTCCTCATCTTCATAGTATGCGTCATCGGGCTCTGGCTCGTAGCTCCAGGAGTCGTCGGCAAGGTTGTAGATGGACGTGTCCTTCAGCTTGTTGAAGCGAGTGTCACGACCAGCCGGACCTTCTGGAGTTTGGTCCTGTCCGATCACAAACTTCACAGCCTTCCGGACGGAATCGAGTGACAGGGTCGAGGTCGTTATGGTGCTCATGATCAACTGTCGCTGTTGCTGCGACAGACCGGCTCTTCTCAAGTAGTACCAACCGATCACCTTCTCTGGAAGGGCGACCTCATGGGCGGCCAAGCGCCTCAATTGCCTTCGCGGTGTACTCCTGCATCGTTTCATTTCTCTTCCTCTGCAACTGGATGAAGAAGTTCTCGAAGTCCTGAGGAAGTTCAGTGATCGCATCATACTTGAACACCGCATCCATCCTCTGGAGGATTTCTTTCATCCCCCTGTCGCTCTCCAAGACCTCCATGGACAGGTCCTCGCATGCGTCCCATGCTCTGCTTTTCAGCGAGCTCATGATGTTGAATGCTGTCTCGCTCTTCCGACCGGCGAGGTCCATCTTCCGCTCGTAGAGGAGGACACGCTTGCGGTACTCCTTATAGTCATTGGCTTTTCCACTGAACTCAGGAATGAGTTCATGGGCTTTCCCTGTATAGGAGGATGCTCCTCCACCTGAGCCATTGGCAGCTGCTGAAGCTCCGGGTGCTGATGCCATCCTCTGTGGCAAGGATGTAGTGAGAAGGCGTAGGCTCCGATGATTAGGTCGTGATGTCAATCTCCCGAATCGTGTCGTAGAGCTCCGCTACCAACAACAGGTAGCAAGTGAAAGGACTCCCGAAGTTCCCCACTATCGCACAGCACGGTCGAAGCGCGACCGATCCCGACCGTCGGTCGGGGGGTAGGGTGGCGTAGCCTTTTCAGCTGAACTCGAGTCTCCCACCACTGCGGTATGCATGTGGTGATGATGTCAGATATGCAAACCTCATGTTTCCTCATGAGTGTTGGAAACACTTGACATAAGTTATATAATCAATTTTTGGGCAAATCAGGGAACCTAAATGCAAGAGGAAATGCTAGATAATTCTACAACAATGGAAGAAAATAGGGGAACTCCTACCCGGGTCCGGAGGGGTAGGGGCGGTCTAAGGCTAAGGCTAAGTCATCGACAGTCACGCCTCACCCCACCTCTCTGCCTAGAGCAAGGCTAGCGCTAAGGTTCTATCCCTTGGGGGTCGGCGGCTGCAGGCGGTAGCCTGGTAAATATAAGTGTATATGGGAGTTCTATAAATGTTATACAAATCATCACTCACACTAAACAGAGTGTAAGCTCTGGCGGTCCTTCAAATCACGTTTTGAGCAGCCACTCTGTCTTTTGCAGCTGAAGTGGAGGGGTGCACTACAGTGAACCAGAGCTGCTGATGATCAAACAATAGTCTTCAATATTCCAAGTCCATCTAAAGGTCAACCGGCAAGATGGAGCTTTCACTATGAACATCAGGCTCCCACTGCTGACCGTTGTCGGTGTGGACCGTTGTGGGGCCGGCTAGGCCTGGTAGAATTGCCGCACAAAGGAGAGCAAAGCGCACCCATCGCCTGACTGAAAGCAGAAGATCGCCGAAAGGGTCGGGTGGCGTTCCTTCAGAGATGATCTGATCAGCTTGACTTGCCAAATCCACATAGGGCTGATTCGCAGCAATGGTCAAAGATAGGATCTACACTCCCGTTCAAAAGGGAAGACCTTCTGAGGTTCAAGTTGTCTTATAGCTCAGAAGGTGGCAGCCTTGGCCATGGGTTTATAATGGTTTATATATATATATAATGGGATTCGCAGTGAAGATCCTGGTTTGTTAGGCAAAACGTTCATGCTTCCTCACAACTCGCTTGAAACAAGGACTTGAATGAGCAGCTTGGCCTGAACGTCTTCATACACGCAAAGGCCATGGTCAAAATTGCATGCACATAAATTGAAGAGTCTGTCTGACCTGACTTAGTTGCTTGCTATGCTGCTCACTGCCTTGTTGGCCTTATTGCAAGGGTGTCGGGCTGCTTCCAAGAGTATTAAAGGCAGGGTCATACTGTGATCCGCCAGCCAAACAACATGGACTTGAGAATCCCCAAACAACATGGACTTGAGAATCACCCAGACCCCAAACCATGAACGGCGCCGATGATGTATGGCAGTCATGAAGAAAGACCGCTGGCAACTTCACGGGGAAGTACCAGTTCTTTTGATATTCAAGAGTCAAGCTGGACATCTTTTGTGTAGCACGTGAGGCTTGGCGTAGCCAGCGCCGCGGCACCCCGTCGGAATGGGCGATGTTGAAGATCAGAACGCACACTGCAGCGAATATGGGGTAAACCTAGGGGTGAAACTGTGTGAGTTGTAAATTAAGCTGAACAGTTCACAGGTCTTGACGATTCAAACAGCTTTGTTAAATGGGACTGTCATCAATCCGGCCCTTCCCCTGCTTCAAACGGCTTGGTGCTCCTGGCCGCCCACTCGCACCTCTGCCACGTAGCCGTCAGTCCTTCGACTGGGCATGAACTCTGATCGAACCACTACAAAGAAGCTTTTGAGGGGGGCATGCTCAAAGTCGATGTGATGTGATGTTCCAAACAAAACTTAGCCGGACTTCGCTGGAGGCTGGGCCCGGCTGGGCTTTTTGTGTGAACCAGGTGTTGAGTGTGAGCGATCATCAGGGTGACCAAGCAAATGTGCCTCATGCAGGAAAGGAACATAACTTCTTCATAGCAAACAACAGTTGCTTCTTAGTCCAACTTGATTCGTCACCCTTTGGATCCTTCTGCTGCGACTGCAAAAGACCAAGAGGACCTCTCCCGTTCTGAAACGTCCTGGACCGCAGCTGGACTGTGGCGTCTCGTAGATCCGGAAGCCTCGACTGTGGGCCCAGGTCGTCCTCGACTATGGGCCCTGGATACCGAGCAAGCAACTGGGTAGTCATCATACAAACTATGGATGAACCGATGACGCTGTCACAAGTCCTTAACATCATCATCTCTAGTGTTGGTCAAGCAGGAGATTTGTCCACCAGGAGATACAGTATATATACTTTACTATATATATATATGAACTATGAACCAAGAAGGTATGTCAAAGTGTCACCAACATCAGGCGGCAAAACCGTACAAAATCATGTTACAACAGAGTTGGTGGAACACCGTCAGTCACAATGCATTGAGGAGGGGCTATTAGTTCCTGGCCATACCCACATCATTCACCGCTGGTTCAACATCGAAAATGGAGAGAAAGAGAAACTGTATTGTATTCCCTGATGTTCCCTATTTCCCTGTAGTTTGCCGGGATGGGAAAACGTTGATCATGAAAAAAGCGGCCGATGCATCTGTGACTCCGAGTCACTCCCCTCTCTTTGAACACCAAGAAGCTACTAGTAGCTCCCAGCATCGCTACTAGTAGCAAGAAGCTACTAGGAAAAAAGGGCATCGCTACTAGGAGCAAGGACGCTACTAGTAGCTCCTGGCATTACTACTAGTAGCAAAGAGCTAGTAACAAGAAGCTACTAGGGGCTCCTGGCATCAATACTAGGAGCAAGGGCGCTACTAGGGGCTCCTGGCCGTACTACTAGGAGCAAGTAGCTACTAGGGGCTCCTGGCATCGCTACTAGGAGCAAGGACGCTACTAGTAGTAGCAAATAGCTAGTACCAAGAAGCTACTAGGGGCTCCTGGCATCGCTACTAGGACCAAGGACGCTACTAGGGGCTCCTGGCCATACTACTAGGAGCAAGTAGCTACTAGGGGCTCCTGGCATCGCTACTAGGAGCAAGGACGCTTCTAGGGGCTCCTGGCCATACTACTAGGAGCAAGTAGCTACTAGGGGCTCCTGGCATCGCTACTAGGAGCAAGGACGCTACCAGGGGCTCCTGGCTGTACTACTAGGAGCAAGTAGCTACTAGTAACCCTCAGTCACTCGGCCCAAAGCCATGGAACAGCTCTCGCCGTTTTCGTCGCCCTCGGACGGCAGGTGAACACCGGTTTCGTCGTCATTCCGTCCGCTTCCCGGGAAGCCACGCATTTGCCGCGCGCGTAGCTCTTGGAGTGCGGGGAAGCGGCCGGTGGCCTTGGAGAGAGGCATCTTGCATCGGAGGTCTTTTCGTGTTGAGGAGTGATTTAGGGTGAGATTTATCTGTGAATCAGAGCGGTGTATCATGCTTTCAAACCATGTAGTGTGGGATTGAAGTGAGTCCTCAGTGTGAAGCATGGCCCGCAAAATGCCACGGAGAGCTGGGAACGCACCAAAAGGGCATCCAAATATGGTACGTTGCACATGATAATTTTTCAATGACGAAGACCCACAAGCATGAATTGCCTGGTCAGGCACCCAGTGAACAACATGTTCTTCCAAGAACCGTGAAAAGGGATGGTTGACCGGAATCGTGCCAATGCTTCCAATCGTTCCTGAAAGACTTGAGTCGTTTGTGGAAGACGCTTCTCACTCAACCACCATGCTTCCATCTTCTTCCCGCAGAATCGACCTGGAGGAGGAGGAGGAGTCACCCGACCTGGAGCTCAGATGGGTGGGTCTCCCCTGCATGAGGTTGACCTGGAGTCTATGTCAATCTCCCCTCTCCACACAACCGCGACCCAAACCGGCCTCGCGGAATGCCCGGCAAGCATAGTACAAACCTGGCAGGGGCGAACCCGGCAAGTTCACCTTCGACAGCGCCAACACAACTCTGCATGACTTTCAATTTAAGTGTACATGATAAAGATGCGAACCCTGATTTCGCCTCGGTACCAAGTACTGATTTGAATACCGTGAAGCAGTCAATGAGAAAACGTCACTGAAACAGAAAATAAACCTCGTTTTGCTAAACCCAGCATAGAAGCTGCTACAGCACCCCAGTGCCAACCGAAGTTCTGTCAGACAAAACCCACCCTCCGGTCCAATTGTTGCTTCCACTGCTGGGGCTGCCCCACATGCGGCGGTGTGCCGCGCAGGGAACCCGGGATCCCGGAAGTCCTGCCACCGGGTTAGCCAAGCGGTAAGGGCGGCTGATCTATATAAATTGATGGACATAGGATGGACGATCCCAGGCCCACCAACCCAAATTAGCTGTGACATGGTGTGACCTGTCTGCTTCCATGCCAGAAAGAAAACACCCGGAAGCATGGAAGAAATCAGATGCTGTGGCCAAACCTGGCCTAAACCATCAAAATGGCATGACCCAACATACCACTGTTGGGAGCACCTTAAAAGAAGGTGTGGCCATCTTCATGAAGTTCAAACAATGCGATCCAATGCACAACATACTCTCCTGCCCCGTACATGAAATTACCCTTCGGCCTGACCAATGTCACCCTCACCATGTGACGCGGCAACAACATGCGGCAACACCAAAAGAGGACGATCCAGGCAAATCAAAGATACACCCAGGGCCATTGCAAGTCGGGTGGAGGCCATCGCTAGTAGGGTGGAGGCCATCGCTCTTGACTGGAGCAAATCAAAGATGCTGGGCAGGACAACAAGCACCCAGCTCGAAGCCTCCCCGCTGCTGCCATCGTGGAGCTTCCCTGCCTGACGAGTTCAAGCACTCGAGAGCTGCACAACTTCCATACAACACCAAAAACGGAACTACTGCAACACCATACCTGGCGAGGTGTTTGGTGGCAAGTTTGAAACCCATGTCTCATATTATAGGATATTATACCCAGCGGACCAGAAGATCCCAATTACCACTATATGATATGACTATAACTAATGGTAACAATTGGATTTTGTGGGATAGATCAGCTCTGAAGCCTCTTCAGGCTCTGAAGGCCTCTGCTTCTGCCGGCCTCATCAGCAAAGACCACATAACCCCAGGCATCCGGCAAGTGCATGTTCACCTGCCCGACCTCGCACGACACGTCTTCAAGGCGCGAACAAGCCAGAGCAGGTCCAAGTGCGACTTCGGTCGCAAAACGTCCGGCTTCTTCGGAAATGGAAAACCACCGGAACGCAGCTGCTGGAAATAAAAGTGGATGAACATCACCGCAGGCTGAAGCTGGGGATGTGTCTGAAGCTAGGGTTCCCCGAGGGCCCAAGGTCCAAGATCGAAAGGAAAGCCGATCATGATTCAACGATCATGTGACTGTCATTCAAAACCCAGAGCCCCAAGCCCTGGTAGGTTGACCTCCCTATTCTGTGCATTATTGGTGGTCAACCAGGGTGTGTGTACGTGTGTTCAACACACACGCAAGTGGAGACGATGTTTCACAATTTTGACCAAACAAGGCGTTCCATTCCAAAGGCTCTGAGTGCAGCATGTCGCCAAAGCATTCCAAGCTGGGTCTCGGCACATAACGCCGTTCTGCTGGAGACCACACCACTTGGGGCGACCAGACCCAATTCACGTTCCCCTGCTTCTCCTGCGGATCGCTGTGAGTCCCATTTTGGGGTGACTGAGACCCGAATGAGTCGCTGTGAGCCAAGTTTGGTGGTCGTTCCGCGTCGTTCTCGTGGTCGTCGATGTTCAAACGCCGGCAACATGGTTTGAAAGTATGTCCCACCTGAAACGGAGCATGTCTGTGGCTCCGGGTCAACCAGCCCCGATATTCAAATGGGTGAACTTTTAATTCGGGAATTGGCTTCGTTTTTTTTCGGGCACTTTGTTCTAAATCCTTGGGGCTCACAATTCGTTGCTATTTACGGCAACCTAGCGTCCTTTAAAAGGAAACGCACTGCGGACACAAGGTGGGGTGAGTAGCTGAATTTGAAAGAGAGACAGTTTCGGCAGTGGGGCTGACACTTAAGAGAAACAGATGTTGTAGCAGGCAGAGTACAGTCGACCGGTAAAAAAGGCTGTTTTCGTGGCGACGGGGGGAAGTTGGGGGAAGGGCGTGTACTCGGATGTTTCTTTGCGCGGCTGCGTGTGTCATGGTATTTTGTTTCTCTCAATGTTCGTGGTGTTTGTTGGGTTCACTTGCACACACACAAAACTCACCTCACTTGCGCAAGCGATGTCGGCAGTGCACCCCACCTACTTGATTATGAAGAGGCCGTGTCCAAACATCACTTGCGCGCGGAAAAAGTAACTCACTAACGCACGCATGAACCACTTGCCCACGCTGCGACTCACTTCCGCACACAGGCATGTTGCTACATTGGAATGGCACCTTCCTCTTCTAAATGTTGCCCGCGGGTGTCTCACAAAAGGTCTTCTATGTTGGAATGGCACCTTACTCCTCCCTCGGGTGGCTTACAAAACGTCTGCTACCTTGGAGTGGCCCCTGCCTGATCATGGCCCTTCCTCTTCTACACTTTAACCTAAGGTGGCTCACAAAAGGTCGGCTATGTTGGAATGGCACCTTCCTCCTCTAAATCTATTCGTCGGGTGTATTCGAGCAAAAGGTCTGCTACCTTGGAATGGCTCCTCGCTCTCACCTAGATTTTGGCTTTAATGCATCTTGTAAGCACCACATGTACAGTAAGCAGTGCTGTACTTCAATGTGTTTCCCACAAACACCGCAAAACAACATGACATACATATGCGCAAAGCGTATTGAAGCTTCTCTGTCTAAAGTGTTTGTGTAGCTAAAGAATACATGCAGCACGAGTGTGTGCAAGTTGCACAGTAATGCAGACAGAACAGCAACAAGCGCAGCACAGTAGATCAAACAGCAACAAGAATCAACAGAAGCAGCAAGAGCAGAAAAGCAGCAAAGCAACAAAAAACGAGCCGAGTCAAAAAGACAAAACAGCAAAAACCAAGGTAAGCACCAAAAGCAAAAAACAACAAAGCAAACAAGCAGCAAAAGCAAAAATCAGTAGAAGCAAAAGCAATGCACAAAAAACAGCAAAAGCAGAAAAGCAGCAAATGCAACATCTGCTGAAAAAAAAAAAAACACATGTCCCTCCTTAGTCAAAGCCAGTGGATCACATGCCCTAGTCGAAAAATAAGAAAAGCAAATGACTATCTGCAACGATTCACCTGTTCTATCCTGTTCTAAGACTCTTAACGCTACAAGGCTACAACATGCTACAACCTCAAATCACTTCCTCCCTGTCTTCTCTCATTCCTTCTCTCACGCCGCGCGCGTTTTCGCGCTCCACGCGGCTAAAGTTGATCCGCCAGAAGCTTCCCACAGAGGGCTCAGCGCCTCGCTGAGGCGCCTGGGAGAGGCTCTCACTGTGCCTGGGAGGCTGGAGCGGAGGGGATCCAGGTGTCCTCAGTCCTCAACACGAAAGCATCAGTCCCACTGGGTCACATGGTCACTTTGGTGGTGGTTTCCCTCGTTTTTCCTGGTCATTTCAATTCACCACCATCTCACACCTCCCGACTGGGAGAAGACTTGATCCAAATATCCACTTTCGCGGTTTCGCATTCGCTCCTTTTGCCCGACCTCAGCGCCACTTCTACACACCACTGGGCCTTGGAAGGGGCGAACCCGATCTGACCTGGCCGCGGAAGCTTCGGGTAGGGCGTCAAGCAGCTGGTCACCCAAGTGACATGAACCTGGGGATTGTCGTGGCCTCCTCGTTTGAAAGGAACCAGTTCTGTCCACAAAGAGTTGAAGGTATGGATGGCACAAGGTCACAAGCCTGAAGCTGACTTCCTACTCCAATTATATAGATGACAAAATTGGCTGCCTTTCGTGACTTTCACCGCTGTCTTCTGCTTCTCCACATCCCACCACCGAGGTTCGCCTGCATGGCATTGGAAGGTCATGGAATTGGAGAGACATGCGACATGGCTGTTCGATTGGTAGGGAAGTTCATGAGGATTACTCGATCGATTGGGTGCGTTGCATCGACGAATGGAAGGGCTGGTTGGTTCAATGCTAAGAAAATGACCTTGCCTGCCGAATGGATGGGAAAGCTATCCGCAAGCAATGACATTCCCAGCACTTTGGAGAAGGACTGAATGAACATATCCTGCTGAACACATTGTCGCAAACGGGAGAACAACTTGAGGAGAACTTGCATCTTGGGCCAAAAGTTGTTCGTTCCTTTGGCTTGCCTGGGTTCGGCCGAGGTCAATTCCAATGGCATATGGCCCTAGTGAAGAAAAGGTTCATTTAGAGCCACCCAAACATGTTATTGTTGCGTAGTGTTGAATCTCTCGGGGGCTGGCAAACCAGCAGCCTTCTCTCTCTCTCTCTCTCTCTCTCTGCTCCTGCCCTTGTTTCACACGAAAAAGTTGTTCAAAACAGGGCTGTTTTCAGTCGGCCAGGCAGCCTATTTGGAAGCTAGTCAACCTATAACAATGATCACTATTCTATTGGAAGCTCATCAAGGTGCAAACGCAATTCTGGCTGGCTCTCGTGTGACAACAAGAAAACACAGAGAAACAATGGGTTTGGATCAATCAATGAAAATCCCGTTTTCTACTGCTTTTTTGATATTCCCATAGTCTATCTAGTCCAGGACCCACTTCCATGCACGATCCAACTCGTCAGTTTACACTCTACACCCTTTTTCACTAAACTGCTCTGCAACTCAATCATGGACCGTACTACCAATACTTGGACAAAGTTGTCCGATCTTTCAGAGAGAGAAGCCATAGCTGGTCTCAGCAGTGAAAGTAACAGCAACACCACATCCGACATCGTCCGACGCTCCTCATCTCATACCACATCAACTATGTCTGTGGCTCGACTGTAGTGCTCTCTTCATCCCAGTCAGCAGAGGATTCTGGCGTGACGTGTGAGATTCTGTGGAACCTTCACATCCTTCACCAGGTTCATTGTGACTTACCCATCTGTGTGGCCAAATGGATGCGTCCATCATGCCTGCAACCACTGTCTCAGCTTTCGTTTCGGCAGACACCTGCGCAGCCATGCGAGACCAAGAAGACCAGGTCAAAGCAACCCCGAAAAATCACATGGTCAGCACAGCTGCATCCTTGTCCTCTTCCTTTTCCTTTTCCGGAAGGAAGGAAAGGAAAGGACTGGAAGGGAAGGCACCGACGGCTGCATCATCGGAAAAGCCAAACCTATATATTTATAGCATAATATAGCTGTAAAGCATGGTACTCAGCATGGTCTATTCGATTCTATTGGCAAGTGGTGCATGACTGCACACGCAATGACGGCAGGGGATGTCACGATGTCCCATTGCCCAGACTCATTTCGTCGGCAAGCGACAGGGATGCCATCACCGCGGATGCCAAACTCTGCATGGGTGTCATGCAGGTGGAATGTTGCATCGTCCATGGACATTTAATTCGCAAGCAACAACATGGCAATGAGTGAGCGGACACTGCGTAAATTGACACGGCGCTGTGTCGCTTTGATTTGGATCTATAGTGATCTCTGTCGTTCCTGATGGAGCTAGAGCACCATGGGACACGCCTCACTGCGGTCCACTACCCTTCACTCAGATCTGCAATGGTGGCCAATGGACTTGCCCAGCAGATCGAGGCCAAAAACTGTCCATCCGGCAAGTTCAAACGAAGACTTTGCAGGTTAACCTGCAAGTCGCGCGCAATGCGCTTGTGCGTATCCCACGCGAGGTCAGACTCATTTGCCCTCAATCCCAATACCTCGTGCCCGGCCAAGTCACAGCATGTCAGCACCCATGCATCATCTTTGAAGGCAATGTCCACTTGCAGAATGTAGTCTTTGCCACAATCAAAAAGGTAGCTACCGGTTGTAAACACAGGAATGTTGCATTGTCCCTCATCGTTCAATCCGCAAGCAACAGCACTCCCATCACTTCGCAGAAGCACTGAATGAAAGACTCCTGCGGAAACTTGGGTGTAGCACATTCCCTCCTCCAAAGGTGGAATGTCGCATCGTCCATCATTGTTACTTACATCCGCAAGCAACAGCACTCCCATCACTTCGCAGAAGGACTGAGTGTTCTCCTCCTGGAGAAACTTGGGTGTAGCATATTCCCTCCTCCAAACCAGGAATGTCGCATCGTCCATGATAGTTCGATCCGCAAGCAACAGCGCTGCCATCACTTCGGAGAAGGACTGTATGGCTTCCTGCAGAACACATCGTCACAGACTGGAGAGGAGAACGTCCCCTTAGATTTCTGTTTGGGCCAAAGGCTATATATATATACATATAGTTATATATTCATATATATATTCTATATTTTGTCCTTCGTTCTTCTCCTGGTGTTGCAACTGATTGGTTCCAATGACGAATGGACACTTTCCCATGCATAAGCCCAACTCAGACCTTCATGGTGCAGGCAAAACCATGACCCGGCCACCGAATATCTTGCCACCCTACCGGGACTCGATAGGATCTAAAAGGATCCCAAGTCCCGCAGTAAAACTGGTTGTTCCGCAGTACGACGTTCATGGCTTCCAAAAGACGACCGTCTCCGTGTCCAGGACCCCAGGACCATTTTCGTGATCCCCATAAGACGACAATCCCCGTATGATTCATTGTCATTGTTGAGATGTTCCTTTGAACAAGGGCTTGTGATTTCGCCGAGCGAAGCATCCCACACATAGTATCACATCCTCCCCTGTGCTCACCCTGTATACTCTCCAGTCGTATACCCTCAAACACCCCTCAAATTGCTACATCAACTGTTGAGGGTGTCAGTACTGAAGGTTATATATATATACTAGCTGCAGCGAGTCGCTTCAAGTACGAAGGGGGAGACCAAATGAACGTCATAATTTGCCAACTGGTTATGATGATGACACTTAATGAGTTTGCAGAACAAAAGTGCGCATGTCCAAGCTACCTTTTGTGTGGTTGACACCCTGTGAGTTTGAATAAAGGCCATTAAAGGCCTCTGTTTGTGTGTCTAAATCTTGGCTGTCAAATTTGGTGAATTTGCACTCTGCGCTGCGGTTCACTTAGCAGCTTAGCACCTTGAGCAGCGACTGTTGGAAAGATCGTGCCCACTGAATGCATCGTCTTTAGCCATGACTCTTACACATGGGTTGATGACCACTGTGGTCGCCTCCCAAATCTTGCTTGCAAGAGGCACCCTTGAAGGGTTTTTGGACAGCATCTTGTCTCCTATCTCTTTTAGCAATTTATCCTACTATGGCAATCCCTGAGTGTCTCTTACCGGCCCATCGATTGGTTCGTGCTGCGCCTTTCTGGGCGATGCGACCGCTGTACTCGCCCCCGCCATCGGAGTAGGGTCGATCCAAGAGGAGGTTCCACACCTGGGAGACTCGGAGGCGACGATGGCCACGCCGGCAACACGGTGGTGGGGTCTCTTGAGCTGAAATATATGTACCGATGACAGTCAGGCACTGAGTGACTGAGTGTTCCTCAAAAACAGACTAAGGATGATCAATGCATGGCACGCATGGCACTGTTTTGGGATCTTCATCAGACTGTTCATCGCAAATTGGAATTCCTCCATAAGATCCCAGGCAAAGACTAAAGCGACTAAGGATTCGATCTGTGGCCAAGTCACCGTGTTCAACGCATTGATCTCTAGCTCCTGCGGTGCCGGGACTCCGCAGAACGGACAACCCGGCGACCAAAAGAAACTCTGTGTGGATGGAAAGAAGGCAGGAATTGATGCTTTCCACAAACCCTCCCAAGACTTCAGTGGCACCTCCGTGCCACGTTCAAGCTGGTCCAAAAGGAATTACAACAAATCTTGCGCAGGGCACACAAAAATCCAGCCTTGTAGCCATGGCAGCAGCCCGCCGGGTCAAGGAAGACCTCGAAGTCGGAGTCGGTGTGGAAAATGGGGGAGTTCCTCTCCTGGAAAGCAAGCCACCACTGGACCACTGGTGTGGCAAAAGGTCGATGTTGCGAGGTGGAAAGGCCACCAATCTTTTCACCGATGAAAGAAACTCATGCGGAAATCTGCTCAGCTGTTCTTGGAACTCTTCCTTTAAATCTTCTTTACAACATCTCTTTCCCTCTTTAAAGAACTGGCAAGCTGAAGCTCTTGTCAAGGCACGGCACGGGTTTGGAGGGGCGGCACAACATCTATTGTGAGAAACATACATGTTCCATTGGAAGACAGGTATGCCATATTATGCAATACAAAAAATGCAGATGTCAACCACGTGAGGTCCCTCGACTTTGGAAGTCCACTCTTGGCACCTTGAAGAGGGCCACCAGCTCATTTCCAGCATCCACATCCATGACCGCTGCAATGTACAAGTACCTGAGCGGCCACTGGAGAGGTTCCAGGGAAAACTTGCCATGACATAGATGATTCTGTCGGAGGATTCTGCGATGCTTCAAATTGACCGCGATCTTCCCCTGCAGTCGATTTGGATCACCACTGGGTACATCATGGTACATCTGCCCCCGCCGCCCCCCCAAGTCCACGATGATGTGCTACCATTGTCCACGATGATGTGCTACCATTGCGGATACGATCTTTCGCACGAGAACGTTAAAAAGCACCCCCAAATGTGTGTTCATGTTTCATTTCATGACTCCCAGCTGATCCGCAAAGGTTCTGGTGATACAGCTACCCGATGGAATCTACAACTTCAGGCAAACCGTGTATGAGGCATCTCACTTACTTGTTGATTCCCTTGTCGATAGCTAGGAATATGCTCTGCGATTGTTTGATAGTGTAGTGCGGCAGCAAGGAAGGTCACGAATGGGATCTATCATCCTGGCCAGCCACCCACCACTATCAATCCCAAACAATAGCTCGGTGGCTTGGTGATTTCACGTGATTTTTTGGTTCTTGTCTGGCATTGAAGATGGCTTCTCAGTGCCACCTAGCCTGACTGCTTTCCAAGCTGCTCATCATCCCAAAGCATCTTCACTCTGGTGGCCTGCCAAACACCAAGTTCTGAAGAGAAACTCATCCAACACCTGCCCATCTCATCTCATCCAAAGCCCATACCGGGACCAGCCGCCCCCCGCGCACCCGCCCCGCACACTGCGCACCTCCTCGGGCCGGGGCTGCGTCCCCTTCGGCGCATCGGGGCCCCGAATCTCCGAGAAGGGCTCCGACCATGGCGCCAGTCGCCAGACCGCCTGGAGCGGGTCCCAGACGCGTGGTGTTTGGTGCGAGGGAGTGGTGTGATGTGCAGTGGGCTGTGCGAGGTTAGATTGAAAGATATTGAAAATTGAAAGTGCTTTTATAAGATGTATATATATATATATATTTTTTGTGAATCAGGCATCAGCTCCCCTTGACCAAAACACGTCACAATCGAGAAGTGTACCGTTTCGCTTACCACCTCAAGCTGGGTGGAGGACCCTGTCTGTGCTCGCGGCAAAATGGCCGCTTCGTCATGCTATCCACAGTGGTAGCGGAGCAAAAAGCTCCAGGGTTGCACGCGTAGAGCCATGGCGAATGTGGGCACACCCCCTGTGCCAAGAAGTGATGGTAGTGATGGAGTGGATGGTGAACCCGCTGGCGCGGGATCGACAAGGTCTCGGGTGCGAGGCCGTGAGTTCTCCCCGGCAGGAGCCGGGATGTCCGAGTATTTCGATAGTGATGAGTTTCGTGAATTCCTGAGAGATCGTCGACGCCGTACTCATGAACGAGATCGCGGACGAGGACGTGGTGATGAGGAAGAAGAATGGAAAGGTGGCGGCTCATCCGCCAAACCACCAGAATGGGATGGCGATTCCACGCCATTCCAGGATTGGCTGATTAAAGCCAGGTTGTGGCTGGCTACAACGAAGGTTCGAAAGACCTCACAGGGTCCTCTGATTCTTCAAGGTCTTTCAGGAGTGGCCTTCCACACCTTCAAGCACTGGCCAAGGACATGGAATGGCTTCAAGATGAACAAGGGGGACATCGTCTTCTGGCTGCGATGGACCAGCCGGAGAATTTGGGGGATGACAAAGAAGATCTTTTGAGTTCCTTGGCCAAGGTGACGTATCACATCCGACGAGATCGAGCTGAAAGCAACCGAGTGTTCTTCAATAGGTGGGAGGACGCTATGAGGCGAGTTACAACCCACCAAGTGGTACTACCGGACGCCTACAAGGGATTCCTGCTCATCAATGCCTTGAACTTGGGTGATCAGGACATCAAGAACATGATGAATTTCACCCGAGGCAGCATCGCCACCAAGGATGTGAAAGAATGGCTTCGAAAACACGAGACCAAGTTGATGGCGAAGGAGGTTGGCATTGAATCCATGAAAACTAAGGCCAAGGCTACTTCCGGGACTTCATCGGCTACCTCAATGCGCCATCTCAATGCCGATGAGAACATGGACTACCATGACGAGGACGAGATTCTCGAGGCCGTCCTGGAAGAGTTGAATGACGAGGACGATGGCGACTTGGGAGAAGACGGAAATGAAGCAGAAGAAGATGCTCTCGATGAGCATGAGGTCAAGGAAGTCCTGAACACCATGTACCAGAAACGCACCTTTAGCCAGAGTATGAAGCTGAAGAAGGCAAAAGAACTGGCCAGAGGCTTTGGTGGATGGAAGGGTTCAGGAAAGGAAAAAGGGAAAGGAGGAAAAGGAAAGCTGGTTGATCAGCTGAAACAGAACAGTCGCTGTGCAATCTGCAAGAAAATCGGTCATTGGCATCGCGAATGTCCAGAAGGCAAGGGTCGAGGCAAGACCACTACCAAGGAGACCTACTACATGGAGACCATGCCGAAAGATCCGGATGCAGGAGCATATTTCTGCGGACACCTCGAGGTGCCTACGGAGACCGAGAAGGAGGATATGAAAGACTTCAACGACGAAAAGTTGTTCCTCCTCACGGACCCTGATGAGAAAGATGACAGGGAGATCTACGGTGAGCAGTACCGACACTTTGAGGAGAACTATGATGGACTCGAGGGATGGCCTGAATTTTCCGACGTCGAGAAGGACGTGGTGGCAACATCGCCGATGCCTCCGTCGGTGGCCAAACCTTCATCGAGTTCAAGCCCAGCTGAGCCTGAGGGTGGATCGGAAATCGATCTTTTTGACGTGGTGACCAGTTCCCACCATGTAGCTGGAGGTGTTCACATGCCTCATTCCCGATATAAGGTCCAATGCGCGGTTATTGGGGGAAATATCGGGGAAGATAAGCATGAGGTTTTTTTCGTTGGGGGTGATTCTAATTTGCAGGGGAGAGCAACCGAGAATCATGATAAGCCGAACGACCGCCGCAGGACCTCGATCCATCGACATCGACAGAGCACATCCTCAAACCTTGAAGGAACCAAACATGATGATGGATGTGCAACCATTGATACTGGGCGCCAACGCATGGCTGTTGGAGAAGAAACACTACATCGTCTCGCCCGACAACTACCACAAAAGTTGGAAATCGGATTGGCGCCTCAAGAACATCGGTTCCGGTCGGTGAATGGCCCCATGTAGATCCTCTCTCCCATCATCAGTGACGGTGCTAGCTCGGTCAGTCGTAGAATCACAAAGAGCATGCGAGCCACCAATCGTGCCCAGACACTGTCGTACTTGTTCTCCTCGATGCGGCTGCGCTTCATGGCAATCGTAGGTCGAGGTACCGGAGTTGGGATCCTCGCTCCGGCTGTCGTGGTCTGGGCTTGAACCATGAGGAGTGTCGTTCCCAATTCTCAAAACCTCGAACTCGGTCGAATCGCTCTGCAACTGCTCATGTAGTTGATGTAACCGATCAGTTTGATCCTTTGTAAACTGATTGGTTGAGGGGAACTCTAAGTGCTCCGGTGGGACCAATGTGACAGTCAACCCCAAAACCAAAACGTCGAAGAAACAGTCGAAGTCCTTTAACCCTTAGCTTCCGAGAAGCTACCTTTTTTTCATTGCTCCAAAAAGTTGTCTGCCAGCCTGTTTTTTTGGCTTCCAGGTTTTTTATGTTAGAAGCCTCTGGAAGCCAAAAAAAAAGGCTTCTAGAAATCCAAAAAAGAGGCTTCTAGAAGCCAAAAAAAGAGGCTTCTAGAAGTCAAAAAATATAGCTTCTGGAAATGTATATCTATCGATATTCTTATATATTTATATAACATCATGATACATTTATGCGCTGCATCACTCGTTTGTCTATTTCATTTAACCATTGCTGGCTTGGCTTGTCCAAGATGAGGGAATGGAGTGGCTGACATCCACCTCAGCAAGACCTTTTCAGAAGCCTTGCCAGGCTGGAATTTACCACCTCTGCGAAAAGATAAAGTTTGCAGTGACCCTGCAAATGTTTCATCCTTATAATTCCAGCTGTCTTTTGGACGGTTACCAAGCTCAACCAAATCCAAAATGTGGGCCAAGAGGTGGAGCTTGGGCTTTGATCTCCACAATCGAACCTCTGAGCCATCACTGGCTTGGACTTCTGCTTCTAAAGCCATGTACTGGCTGATGAATTTTCTTCCAGCCTTCACCAGTTCTTGTTTGTTGGAGGCTTCTAAACTGTTGTACATATGGCTGCAGTACTTGGCCACTTTGTAGACAGCTTTCTCATGCCAGGTGCCTTCATGCAGGCATTGTCTTTTGCACAATGGTTCGAGAAGGGGGCAAAAATCCCTGACTTCATGGGCCTTGCAATCCAAAACTGAGCTTTCTTTGGTTTGACTATATCCTTGACAGTCAACTTCTTGAGCCTTTTGCAGCCTGGAAAATCTCTTTCTTCATACATTTTTGGAATCTCTTGCCAGAGATTGGCACATCTTTCATCTTGAGAAGTGCCTGGAAAAGATGGCAGTAATTCTTTCAGAATTTGCCCTACTGCCACAGCAAAACTGCCCTCATCACAAACATGCATCCAATCTGGCATGATGGTGCCATTACTGACATTGGGCAATTGAAACAAAGGATTGATTGACTTACCTCGATCCATGAGGAAAGTCAAGTAGGCATCCTTGTCCATGGTTTTCTCCAACCTAGCCATGCTCTGGCTCATTTACCTCCAGTTGTCTGGAGTGGCTTGGCACAGCCAGCAATTCCCTTTCTTCTCATTCCAAGTGCCTGCTCCAAAGTATTTACAATTCCAATCCCAATCAGATCGAATTTGGATGAGGGTTGCCTTCCCAGGCAGAGCTGCGCCTGCCCTAAATTTTCTGTAGGCATCATGCTTCAGCCAGGGTGAGCCATCATGTCTGGCTGTGGGAAAAGTGCCTTTGTTCAGGCAATCGAAGCTCCAAAACAAAATTCCACATATTGCTTGGATTGTTTCTGCTGCTATCATTCTGGTATCGAGGCAGCAGATAGGAATCCTCATAGCTGAGAAAGCTGGGCTGCATGGCAAATTCATGGACCAAACATCTAATGTGGATTGATTCATGTACAGGCACTCTGCCCAAGCTTTGACCTCATGAGGTCTCTCAGGCAACCCCAGCACTGCAGCTTCTGCCAGCTTGTTGAAGTCTGGGTCAGCACCCTGCAACTTGGCTATCTAGTACTTAACCATCGATGACTTTGTCAGTCTTTTTGAGCCTTTCCAGGCTTTGTTTGTGTACACTGCGACTGGCTGCAGATTCATCCAGAAGGAAAGTGTTGTAGTAAAACTCTCTTTTGGCTTGTTGGCTTCCATTGGCACATGCCTTGTCCCAGGCAGTCTTGAGGGCTGTGTCTCCAGCCTTGGCTTTCCTGGCAAGTTGCTGGCGCATGTCCTTCCAAGCATCTAGCCTTTGCAGGCTTGGATTCAGTACTTGGGGCTTCCATAGCTGCTGCCTCAGAGGCTACAGAAGGAGTTGCCTCTGGAATGGCAGAGCCATCACTGGCTTTTGCTTTTGCTTTAGCCATTGCTTTCTTCTTGGGGGTTGGTGGCTCCACCTTCACATCGGGAGCCTTTCTTTTTGCCATCTAGCTACAGACACTGGCCAGTTGTTTAAAGCTTGAGGTCAGAAAAATGGCTGCGGATTTTTTTTGGGTGGGGTTGAAAAATGTGACCAGGAACTTTTTGGAACTTTCGGAACTTTTGGAACTTTTTGATTTATATAAGAAAACAATATCTAGGAATAGAAAGTTCCAAAAGTCCAAAAGTTCCAAAAGTTCCGAAAGTTCCATTTTTACATCCCTTTTGAAGTACCACTGAAAGCAGGCAGGCGCACCTTTTTTTTCCAAAACTCTCAGCTGCAGTGCTGGTAG